TCCTCCATTGACGTTTTCTCTTCCTTGTGTTTCTTTTTATGCTCCAAAACTGATGTATCCGAGTCCTTGACCGAGAAGAACATAGGCCCTAACTCAGCCNGCCAATGTGGCTCCACCAATGTAGAAAAATTAGGATTTTAAGGAGATAAAGGCGGTTTTGTTAGTTAACCCTCCAAAATTGATTTTCTCTTGATAATAACTCGTTTATATACATTCAGTATACTGTACAATTTGGAACAGACTGTTAAAAGATTCCTAGAAGAGTGTTTCTAAGAAAGTGAACAAATTCTATGGTTGACTAGTTAAATAGCACCTAAGAACTCTAGAGGAACTAAACTAGTTTTATGACTAAAAATCTGTATAAGAAAATTCCAGAAATTGCAATCAAGGTATAGAGAGGTTACCAAAAGGAGGAATTTCTTATTCGTTGTTACCAAATCTCTTGGCAATGATAGGACGGACATCGTTGGCATCAGCCAATGACTCTAAGAAGGGAAGCAATGAAATCAAACCATCATCAGTTGGATCATCATACCAACTTTTGATAGGTATCCCATTATTGTTTTGCAATCTGTACACCTGAAACCATAACAATGAGGATCCATGTAAAAACTCAAGGAAACTACAAATTCTGCACTGTAATTATTGTTTTTCTTTTGATTCGCTTGTGGCGTCTGCTCATATTCTTATGAGAAAAGATCTAACTTCCATTTCACCGATCCTTAACCAACTAATCTAATCTCTTAACCTGGGTTTGTATGTAAGCAAACTATATCCTTGCAAGGCTTATCTTATTGAGATTAGAGATCTTATTGGGAATGTGAGTAAAAACCAAAAGTAAATGAAACATAATGACTGAAGTGAAAGTACCTGTGGACAGTTATCAACTATAGCCACTTTTGCAAGATCAAGACCCAAAACAGTTAAGTCCTTGGTATAGATACCATCTGAAAGAATGCATGAATCCCGGTAAAAACGTTCCGATACAAACTTCCTGTCTGGATCCAATATATCTAGAAGCTGTGAGGCGTAGATGCTGTGGCTAGCCGTGAAGATGACAACATGAAACAGTTCAACCACTCTCTCCAAGAACCTGTAAAGGTGTGGCCTTTGTTTCACGTAAACAGTGTTCTCTTGCATATTGAACGAGACTCTGAAGGAAAAATCTGTATCTCTGCAAGCTTCCAGCGTCGAATGGACCAGCGTTTCTGCAAGTCGTTTCAGACGATTAATGAAGAAATGAGCAACTTCACATATATAGACATAAAACTGAACCATTTTTTGATAAGGATCATACCATCTAAATCAAGAACAAGGGTTACAGCCTTCCTTTTTGGGAAACCCCTAAGCTGCATATCAGGGAAATAATTGGATACGACATCCGATAGTTCCGGTTGGTTTTTTATGAAAAGCTGTGGGTCAAAATCTTCAGTTTGTTCAGATTCCTCTGCTGCTTCTAAGTTCTGTGATCTTGACTGATTGAATGCCATAAATAAGTCATGTTTATCGACTTTAATCCTTTGGTCCTCATCAGACTTAACATCATCACTGCAGGCTGATCCATCTTCTAGGTAAGGTAATATCATGTACTGCTCTGCTACATCAAGTAACACACTTGGCTCTGGAAAGATGTAACGAGGCAAGGGACATATTTCGGTGAAAACATCAACGTTTCCACTCTCATAAAATGGCAAGCTTGCAATTAGCACATCAGAGAGAAAGAAATCGGAAACGTTGCCACTCTCATCAGCTCCCCACCTAGGCATTTCCCAGTGCGCACTGTTTCCTGAATATTGAGGAAATACATTAATAATTTACTCGATATTCAATCAAAGACGGCTTAAATGAAAAACTGAATCAGTAAGGGAATACCTCGATCAGTTTCAGCATATAGTTCATCATCCAGAACAGGTGAAAATATCGTATCTGTGTTTAACGCATATTTAGAGGCAATGTCCTGCACATGAATGTCCAATGTGAACAAAAAAAATTCTAATACAAGCAAGCCAGCTTCACCAATGACAAAACCTACCATTTTTTCGACGGATCTAGAACCATCAAAGGGAGATGCATATGCCTGAGATAGAGATCTGTCTTCAGCTAGCAGGTCTCCAGGTTCATTTGCTTCAACATCCCGCGTAAAAGAATCCAAACCTGTAGAAACCAACAGTATCATCAGAACAGAATTAGTTCACTAATATACGTACAACTCGAGAAACAAGCCTTACTAATATGTTGTTGCTCATTGTTAAGGCAATTAAGAGTAGCAGTGTCCAAATGTTCCATTCTCCTCGATATTTTGGGCTCGGAACATGAATTCTCCGAAATCGTTTTAGGTTTCTTACAAACACCAAGAAATTTTTTCTCTCTTAACGAGTCCTTGCTTATCTTGCTCTTCATTTTCAAAAATGGCATTGGTACTGTCTGTAGAACTATAGCATTGGTATTTTCAAAAGGAACAACGTCTACCAGCTGCAAACCAGAGTCAACTACAATCAGCCAGCTTCATAGTTAGAGGCAATTGGATGCAAAAGCAAATGAATTTGGCTCAATGGATACAAAATCAAGTAGATAAAACAGACCGTTCATAAATTGCAAACTCAGAACCATTTCTCCTAATATGTAAGCAAATACATGGAACCGAACAGAGAAACCAAATTAAAGTTCAGATTTCACTACAACTTAAAGGGAAGCTCTAAGAATCAGAGAAACCCTTATACATATAATAAAGTTTCATTTTTTAGAACAATTTCAAATCGAAACCAAATCCAAATAGGCGCACACAAAAAACGAAATCAAAGTACAATTTTTGCTAAGAAACACAGAACCCATCATGAAAAAAAACAATAAAAATCAGAAAATCAAATCGGATTAGAGATTGAAGAAGAAGACCAACCTGAGACGAAAGCAGGAGATTTTTGTTTTGTTCTTCTTCTTCTTCAACTCTCTGATTTTCTCTGAAGATTCAACAAAATTTCCACGAATGAGAGAGAGAGAAGTAAAAATGAAGCTTTTTTAATTTATAAATTAGATCGAAAGAGACGGCTACGATTAAATCTTTTTGTTGGGCGGTTTTTCAACCAATAAAAACTCGACACGTAAAAAGTTTTCACCAGCTCAGCTAGTCACCTTCATAACTTACACACGTGCTAATCCTTAATTCGTTTATTCTTTTTACCAAAAGAGTTAGGTATAATGGGCTTTTGGCCCATATTACGTAGGCTCACTACAACAACGTCCTTAATCTTTATCCAGTATTCCATTATTCAATCATTAAAAAATTAAAACAAAAACTCAGATTCTTTATCCACGCGTTGTTTTTAAGCGCGTGTACTTCACTCTCTCTCTGAAAAATCGAATCTAAACTTAATTCAAAAATCTCAATTATTTATTTTTAAAAAACTTTAATCGAATCTCAGACAACAACAATTGTTATAAAATGTTAAAATTGATTCATCATTATCCAAACATTAACTGTCTTTTAAGGAAAAAAATCTGTAAGCAATTAAAATACCATTAAGAACAAAAAAAAAAGTAATTAACTTACCTTTAGCTACAAATTACCAATTTATCTTTTTCATTACATAACTTTCCAAAATTTGAATCTTTTCCTTATTTTTTTTCCCCAAAACCATTAAAATCCCCAAAGAGAGAAGCAAAAAAAAATAAAAAGAGGTTTTTTTTTTTTCTTTCACCGATACTGCGAAGAAGCCAAGAGCGATTTATATAGAGAGAGAGAAAGAAGAATCCTTGTGGGTTCGTGGAATCGTGACTTTAAGAGCTCGAGAAAGTTTCCGATTTTCAGATCTGAGAAAAAATGGTGGGTCGTGGCGGCGGCGGAGGCGGTAAGGTTATTAACGCAAACGCCGGTGGTATTCCGGCGAGTTCGAGAAAAGTTGTTCAGAGTTTGAAAGAGATCGTGAACTGTTCCGATTTAGAGATCTATGCGATGCTTGTTGAGTGCGATATGGATCCTGACGAAACTGTTAATCGTCTCCTTTCTCAAGGTTTTGTTTCATTTGTTCTCTCTTTGATTTTTCTGTTTCTCAAGGTTTTAGCTTTCAATTTGATTAGTGGAAAGAAAAAAAATCAAACTTTAAAGAGTTTCTCTTTAAGCTTGTGAAGAAATTTGGTTTTTGTGTTGGTTAAGTAGTTAAAATCTTGTGTAAGAGAATGTCAGAACCTTTTTGTTTTTGCTTTTGCTTTTGTTACTCGAAATAGTAATGTTTTTCCGATTTGGTTGAATCTTCGTTTTTGCTTATGTTACCTGTTTCTGGAGAGAAC